TTCTCATGGAGCTTTGCATTATAGGAATTGACACTTTCAGAAAAAGAAGACTATAATTATTTTACTTTGTAATTAAAGGTTTCTCATTTGAGAAAAATCACTTCTATTGGCTTTTTTGAAACTTTTTTTCTACTTCGAAGAAACTTTAAATTGTCATAGTTTGCCCGCTTAACTTACAATAGGAAGAGCATTAGATTTATAATCCAGAGGTGGTGGATTTGATCCTCAGATATGTGGCAAAATTTCTGTATGACAATTGATCCCTTGGACATTGAATAGAGTCAAGTGGTCATTTGTCTCTCACCACTGACCTTCAGAAATCATGCAATTGGTAGTAGGTCTCTTAGCAAGATGTTGAATATTGGTCGGGTAAGTTATCCTGGATTGGCTGTCTGGACCGACTCAGAGCTACGACTAAAAATGAGTTAATATTGGCATACAAACAAACAAATGAAATTGTTATAATTGAGACTTCTCGAGACTATTGGAAAATGTAAATTTTTATATATTTTGACCAGCTTTAGGAACTTTTTACATAATTCGTCACCTTTAAGTGCAATAACTGAATAACTCCTATTAAATTTAGAAGAACTTATTCCGTTAATACTAATGGTTATTCTGAACATATACATTGTTTTCGCCTATTTACTTTAGTGCAGGTGAAGACCTTTTTAATTCATTCTGCCGTCAGTGGAAATTTTTTAGGCACAGAAGCTGTTTCCATCAAAATTCCATGCAAAAATACCATTAGCAATTCCAGTGAAAAAAGGAGAAAATACATTTGAAGCAGGTCTGTTGTATGTAAACATTTATTCTGGAAAAAGATTTATTTTGAAATTAACCATCCACCAGGGAAATTGCTTCCTTTCTTTTTTATATTGTCTGTTTTATTATGAATGAGCCATTCTCAACTAATCTTGGTACAGCATCCTTCAGGCCTAACAAAAAATGGTGGTGTAAAAATGTACGGAAGTAGAATAATTACTGTAAGGTTACTCTTATAATGCCTAGTGTGACATTAAATTGACGGGCCAATGTAATTGCCATAAGTATAGTGCTATGCTGAGGACAATATGAACATTCCGTTGCTTCAATTTTATTAAGCTTTTTGGTTTTAGAATTTTGATACAAGTATTTTTGTGCCCCCATGTTAGTGGCGGGCATTTAGATTTACCCTTGTCCGTCCGTCTGTCCGTCCGTCTGTCCGTCCGTCCGTTCACTTTTGTGTCACACGTAACTCAAAAAGTATTTGACCTAGAGTCATGAAACCTTACAGGAATGTTGATCAGCATGTGTAGTTGTGCACCTGGGTATTTTCATCTGGATATTTTTAGTATTTTCAGAGTTATTGCCCTTTTGCAATTTTCAACTTGTGTCGCATGTAACTCAAAAAGTATTTGACCTAGAGTCATGAAACTTTACAGGAATGTTGATCAGCATGTGTAGTTGTGCACCTGGGTATTTTCATGTGGATATTTTTAGTATTTTCAGAGTTATTGCCCTTGACTTAGTAAAATTTTGCAATTTTCAACTTGTGTCGCACATAACTCAGAAAGTATTTGACCTAGAGTCATGAAACTTTACAGGAATGTTGATCAGCATGTGTAGTTGTGCACCTGGGTATTTTCATCTGGATATTTTTAGTATTTTCAGAGTTATTGCCCTTGATTTAGTAAAATTTTGCAATTTTCAACTTGTGTCGCATTTAACTCAAAAAGTATTTGACCTAGAGTCATGAAACTTTACAGGAATGTTGATCAGCATGTGAGTTATTGCCCTTGACTTAGTAAAATTTTGCAATTTTCAACTTGTGTCGCACGTAACTCAAAAAGTATTTGACCTAGAGTCATGAAACTTTACAGGAATGTTGATCAGCATGTGTAGTTGTGCACCTGGGTATTTTCGTTTGGATATTTTTAGTATTTTCAGAGTTATTGCCCTTGAGTTAGTAAAATTTGGCAATTTTCAACACGTGTCGCATGTAACTCAAAAAGTATTTGACCTAGTCATGAAACTTAAATTACAGGAATATTGATCAGCATGTGCAGTTGTGCACCAGGTATTTTCGTCTGGATTTATTAAGTATTTTTAGAGTTATTGCCCTTCACTTAGAAAATTTTTGCAATTTTCAACTTAAGTCGCAAGTTTCTCAAAAAGGATTTGACATAGTTATTAAATCTTATGGGCAGGTTGCTCAGCATATTTTAGATTTGCACCTGGGGTTTCGCTTGTGGATTTATCCAGTATTTGTAGAGTTATTTCCCTTGACTTAGTAAAAAGATTGACAGAACAGTGGCGCGGTGGGGACACCCATGTCCTATGGACACATTTCTAGTTTTTACTCTTTGTTACCAAAATAGTGCTACTGGATTTCTGGGGCATAATAGGCCTTCAAAAAAAACAAACAAAAAACAAACAAACAAACTTGGCAATATAGCAATAGGGACTATCAAAGGAACAGCAGTAATATAAAGACAACTTAAGATTAACCTTTGCTTAACTCACATCGCCCTGCAGATGCCGGGACATCTGCATGCTCTCTTGTTCCGTTATGTTTTATAGAGAAAATCTCAAAGTAATTATTTCAAGATATTTACAAAAACATTTTGTTCTTTTTAAGAAGCCTAATTGTATTGTGTAAGAGCTCTCAAGTAGATTTTTTACTTTTGTTGTAGGGTTGTTAGTAAGTGAGAAGGTTTTTGATGATGATGACAAATACTGCCATAGAAAAGTAATTTGGAAAGACTTGATGAAAAGTAATGGAAGAGAAATTTATTATTGTTGGTTTGATGTATATACGTAACTAAAAAGACAATGGTTCCTTAATATTCTTTAGTTTGTTCAATGTTTTTTTTCCCCATTAGTTGGCATCTGTGATTATTTAACATTATTTAACACTCGAATTAACTGCTTAATTAAGCAAAAGGGTCTTGAAGTGCTAAGGGGCATGAGAGATTTGAGTACTTTAGATATTGTCTTTCGTCACCTCTGAGTCTTTAAACTCAGTTTTCGCCTATAATATTTTATGCATTTATTTCATTTTTTTTAAAAATCATTTGCAGAAGTTATTAATGCATTCTCTCAGAAGAATATAGCATCGACCCAAATTGAGGTGGAATTAATTCATACCTTTTACCGATAAACAAATAGAAAATAACAGGAATCAATTAATGTATTGACTTTTCCTGCGAAAATTATGATTTCTGTCTAGGAGCCCTACCTTTTGATGTATGAGAGAAATGCGGAGATATTAACAAATATACCATTATTGTATAACACACTGGGGAGCTATATGAAGAGTGTATCTGCTGATTTTGTTACTTCACTGATTGAGTAATAAAATTTGATGAACAATTTTACATGAAAGTAGAAATCAATAAAATATAGATGTAAACTCTTTATTAATTTTGTACATGTTCATGTTTCTCCCAGCTTGCAGTATATCTCAAGAGTAATCTTTGCCTATTTGTTCTTCTTTCATTTCATTGTTTTCCAGAGACTTTAAATTCTTTGTAGCTATCCAGCTAGCTTAAAGAATGTTGGTAGTTTTACTTGCTCATGCCTGAAATAATGTACTGAAGGACACCTAAGGTCTCCCTCCACCATTTAATGCCCTGAAATAATACAAATAAAGCTGAAATTAGTCACCATATAACTTTTACAATAAAAACTTTTACTATAAAAAAAGGACAGTGCTGAAATCATGAACTCAAAAATGATTGGTGTTTGCCACAAGTATAGAGTCATGCATCTAGGCCAGCCTGCACATCTGTCCAGTCCGATGAAGAGGCTCAATAGACTCTTTATACTGTCGGCTGCTGTAAGAATTTCAAATCCTTTACTGTCCTGTCCCTATTTAGGTTAGCAACATAGGTTCACGTTTGATGCCTCAGATAAAAGACTGAGATTTCCTGTCAACAGAGTTGCTATATGTGGGTTGAGATTATGAAGGTGTTGATAGGTAGAGGTTTTTATTGGACAAGAATTTACAAGATTGGTAACATATGTTAGAATTTGTGTTTTACTGTTATTGATACTTTAATGTCATGTCGAGAAAAAAAACACAGTTTGTTTGATGTTAAGTGATGTTTTTGTTCCAAAGAATGCCAATATATATGTTAGACCAGGCTGTATTTTTGTTCTCTTTAAATAGCATAGACAGGATAAATATTTGGAACTATTCTAGAGGAAATGTTTCTTGGTTTTTGTTTAAACTATGAAGTAACTTTTTGTTACTCAAGTCAGTAGAATTGATCTGACAGATGCTATTTGCATGTTGTTTATGATGTATGTAAAACAGATACAATGTTTGCAAGAGGTGATGTTCAAGAAAATGATTTATAAACAACTACATGTCAATTCTACGGGTGTAATGTTTGGTTGTAGATTTAGGTGATGAAAGAAATATGCATTCTGTTGCTGTATATGTATGCATGTAATAATAATAAAAATTGCATGATAACAATTGATTATTGACTAAATTTTTTAGATATTTGCTGTCTTTAATAAATGGTACCTTTCATGGAACTTGAGTCAAAGGTAAGGGTCAAAGAGGTTGAAACATGTTGTTTTGTTTTTTTACTTCAAAACATCAATTTAAGGCTTTGTATTTGGAATTGTCATTGCAACAATTCAGTGCATGCAGCCATCACTAATTCTAATATTCTTCTTTGCACTGTCAATTAAATCTTATGTGAAAAGAATTTTGTCCTCTTATTTCAGTAGTGAGATCCGTCTCAAATACCTTTTATATATTTCAGGTGCCCTAGGAAGTGAGATCCATCTCAAATACCTTTCTTATATATTTCAGGTGCCCTCTGTAGTGAGATCTGTCTCAAATGCCTTTATTTATATATTTCAGGTACCCTCTGTACAAGTGAGATCTGTCTCAAATGCCTTTATTTATATATTTCAGGTGCCCTCTGTAGTGAGATCTGTCTCAAATGCCTTTATTTATATATTTCAGGTACCCTCTGTTACAAGTGAGATCTGTCTCAAATGCCTTTATTTATATATTTCAGGTGCCCTCTGTTGTGAGATCTGTCTCAAATGCCTTTATTTACATATTTCAGGTGCCCTCTGTAGTGAGATCTGTCTCAAATGCCTTTATTTATATATTTTAGGTGCCCTCTGTAGTGAGATCTGTCTCAAATGACGAAATATTGAACATGCGACAGCAGACACAGTTTTTATGGGACGCTTACTTCTCGTCTGTTGAAAAAATAGTCACATCAACATTAGAGGTAAGACCGAAGCAAGGTTTAAGTTTTATAATTGTTTTAATTTAATACTGTTCTATATAATTAACTATTGAAAAAAAAAAAATATATATATATATATAAAATACAGATGATTGTTTATTGTAGCCTCCATTGAGACGTAACACAAAAAGCACAAAAAAAATTAATGTACTTTTTTTCTGAATTTCTGAAGTTGAAAAAATGAAGGGAAAAGCAAAACAAATAAAAAAACATCAATTCAGTCTCATTTAAAAGTAACAAATTGTCTAAAATTCTTTCTCAATTCTTTATCGCTTACTCAACATATTTTGCAAATTGAAGTTTATTTCAATAAATATTATCTCCGACTATGTTTCCTATTTTAATGATGTAAGTAAGGAGAAATCTTAGCAGCTCCCGGAGGAATTGCCTCCAAGACAATTATCAAATTATTGTGAAAAGACAAGTAACATTGCAGTAGTTAAATGGTGCACAGTTTACTAAAGTGCCAGAAATAATTGTATACATCACTTTTAATTGGAGAGAAAATGGCTTTTATTATGTTTGCTTTACAAAATGTTTTGTTGAATTGGTAAGGGAATGAAATTTTTTTTTGATTTATCGGTATTATGAAAATTTCTTAATAGCTTGAGAGGGGGCCTCACTGACCGAGTTCTTAAGATTTTTGTTCTTTACTCATTTGCACGCACTGCTGAATTTTGTCATGTGAGAGAGCTTTTATACAGCTTGCTAACAGAAAGATGGTGGTTTTTACTACAGGTGCCCCTTTGTGCCTTGAAGGTATTTCCTGGTCAGTAAAGCCTGAAAATCCCCTTATGACCTTTACAGTGTTTTTGTGACTTGCAACTTAAAACCAAACTCTGTCTCAGAAATAAAACAGCCTGGCTAGGCTAGCCTGTCCTTCCATACTGACATTCAGTCAAAATGGAATAAGGGGCAATTTCTTTTGTTATTTTCTTTTGTTTAACCCATTACTTCATGAGCATTTTGTGAAAAATGGCTGTTTTCATTGAAAAGTCTCCCGTTACAAGTTCAAATTTCTATAATACTATAAAAACTGCTTCAACACTAATCAAACTTGGCACAAATGTTGACTGGACCATTGCCCTTGCAACAACATGCTCAGGCTTAAATTTTCTGTTACCATGGCAACGAGTGGACATCTCAAAATTGCCAAAAATCACTATTTTGCGTTGATTTTTTCCATCAAAATTGATTTCAAAGTGCTGCAACTTCTCAAAGGATTGAGATAGAGTCAAATGCTTTTCAGCGTTGGTTACACGTTACCTTTTGATCAATCTGGGGTCATTTGTAGCCTCTCACAAGTCCAAACAACATTTCTCAAACAAAAACAAGTGTTGGGGGCCTAAATAAGGCATTCTTTCACCATTTGAGACAACAAAAGGGGGATGAAAAAGGCGTTAAAAGGCGTGTATATAACGTAATGGGTTAATAGAGGGCCATTAGCCCCTTACTCTATTGTTACAGAATCAAATCTATTTATATTCTCTTTTGCTCTGTTAACAGTTACATGGCCCCTTATCTCCAGACAAGACTTTATATAGCTGAAAAGACTGCTCTATTGTGCATTGCTGCTTGATCCAAATATGCTACTATTATATCAGTGCAGTCTGATCAGGCTCTATACTGTTGGCTGACTTACTTTAAATGAAATAAATATTCATCTTAATATCCCTAAAAATTGATCATAGACAGTTCCAAAACTGGAAGCTGGACAAGTCCATATAAGAAATTCAGTAGGTCAATGTATAAATTCAAAATGAGATAATAATCCAATTTGAAAAAAGACAGTGTGGTAAGGGTTAACATAATAAAGGGAATAAATCACTTTAAGATGTAATTATAGGTAACTAAATTTACTTAACTTGATTTAAAGGAACTATGAATTATTGGTAAAAGAATGAAATCCGACTGTATTCCCTATCCAGTCTCACAATTTTTTTTATTTGCTCGGCTTGGTTATTTCTTTTCAAGATATTTATTTAATTATCTGAAAGCTATGATATTTATGCTCTGAAACATTTGAATGATCATCCTTGGAAAACAAAAATATTGATCATTAGGGTATTGTAAATGATAGTTTCATTGTATAATGTAGCTAATTTTAGATGAAGTATTTGTAATTAACCGTTGAAAGTTAGAATATCAAAGAGTAAAATGCTGTTTTGTTTGTTCGCTTTTCTAATTTTTACGCCAATTTTAACACAATTGTTTTTAGTCATATCTCTATAGCTAATGCACCAAACTGGCTTTCCTGATTACTTAACAGTAATTAACCCATTTCTCAGACGGACTTTTTAACTTATCCCACATGAATCAGCACCGAGAGTCACCAATGATGATTAGATTCATTGTCCAACATCAATAGTCACAGAGAAATTACACCTCAACCGAGGATCGAACCTGAGCGCCCCCTGGACTACTTATGATATCCAATGCTCTCCCTATTGAGCTTAGTGGGCCAACATTAAATGAAACACAGGCATACCACTAATACTGTTGGCTGCTTGGTTTTCGAAAGAAGTGAAACTCGGGTTACTATATTGTGAGAAAGCAGGGGGACAGGCTGCTGAATGCCTCATGCATTTCTCAAGGACTGTCAATGAAACTTTCATAGAACTACCATCACAAAGTGTCCATGCATATATTACCTGGATGCACAATAGATAGAATAACTGCCTATTGATATATGACTTAAAAATTCATTTCCATCCAACTTTTACTTCTATCATGTATTTTTCTGGGACTGGAATCCAATGTGCAACAGGTGTTTAGAATAACAAAAACAACAAATATGCCAATGAAGCAAAAGAAAAGAAAAAAACACACACATGTTTGCTAATATCTTTTCATGAGATGTATTGGGGGCCAAAACTGTAAGAAAAACAAGTTAATTATTGATGCAATATTCTGTCCAGAAAAAAAAGAATGGTTTATGTTCACATTGTGTTGAGAGATGTAGATAGGTGATGAAATATTTATATTTTTTTCTAGATTAGATGTTTTCAGCAACTTTAACTTATCTTATACATAAGATAGATTCTTCTGAAAGAATTGTGGTAGGCTAATTAAATAAAATTGGGTTAATTAAATGATTTTATTGCTGAAGGATTTTTAGATATAGGACAACCTGGTAATTAAAGTTACAAGTCTGTGTCTGAAACAGGGAGAAATTCACAAATTTGGTCACCATATGAATACATGGGAATCAGAGGTTTGTGGTGTAATGGGCCGTGTTTGTTGCAAGAGTAGATAGGAGTATTTAACCCTTACCACACAGAATATTTTAAATGGACCTGTCCATATTATGATCTGGACTAAACCATGAATCATTTTTCGAGATTTTTTTTCTAAGTATGTTATGACTGAATTAAGTTAACAGTGCAGACCATGTGATCTTAGTGTCCACAAGTTGCATGAGTATGGGCATGAAATCTGTTGCCACCAGCAAGCTTAAGGTTAATTAATAAGGTCATACATTGACTTTCCAGCTTAACTCAGATGGTCACTCCATCGGGACTCAAATTCTTTCAGGTCCATGTGAGGAAGCTATCCAGCGAGGGAAAGTTGTACTTGATTGCTCGCTTATGTCTGAAATTGTGCATGAAGGTCTTCGTTCACCAGTAAAGCTGGTAAACTGTATGACCTTTACAGTGTCTGTGTGTCTTAAAAATTAAGAAATTTGATTAAATAGGTGGAGTTAAACTCTTTTTGGTCTCCATGTATGCTATTTTTGGCTAATGCAGGTAGCTGGGTGGAAACGATAACATGACATAGGCAAGCAGAAAAGATTCTTAACATAAAAAATTGATAAACTACAAAGAGATTCAAACTTTTAACACCCAAATACAAGACGGTTTTAGTATATGGAAGGCAGTGACTGACTAGAAGACCCCACCCAGTAATATAAAGTCAGTTTTATTACCAAATTGCCATAAGCTGTTTAAAATCTCGACTGTTATTTCATGTCTTAATGTGTCTAGCCCAATTATACTTATTACATAAGTTATTACATCAGGGAGATAATAAAGTAAGACAGCATATAATTGTTGTTGGTATCCACTTAATCACCAATTAAGGTTTATGATAACATTACATTCCTGGAAGATTTTGCTGCAGTAATAAGTGCATCTTAAATCATCATGATAGTTTTGAACTGCAGAAAATTAACCTGATACCTGAAAAAACAAGAACTCATCATCTATGATAGCATATTTTATAATCGTAACTAGATAAACCAAGTCGACTTCAAGGTACAGAATGTAACTAAAACAGCTGTTACTTAGAAAAGTTTTGTCTTTTTGCACGGTCATGTTTAGTTTATATTTAAGATGCAAATGATATACAAAATAATCGGATTAATAAAATTGCCGACTCGGCATTAATCATTAAGTTTCATCAGTTTCATAGCAGCAAGCATGTTGCACTAAAGTCGTACCGAAACAATTACTTCTCAATAATGAAGAAATTGTGAAGTAGTGACTGTTTAGGTTATTACAGAGATGATAGGCTGCAGGAGATGTGGGAGATTTATTTAACAAAGCAAGGTAGCCTGGTCATGAGTATTCATTTTGAGGACATATAGGACAGCTGTCAGGCATTTGAAGTTTGACCGCTCTTTACTAAATAAGTAATAAAAGTAGAACCAGTTCCTACAGTGCTTGGCTTTTTGCATCTATAAAAAGAAACTGGCTTATTCTTTGACATTATGTTCTGTCATCGAAGTAAAAACTGTGAGAATTATACACCGGAATATCAATTGTTAACAGAAGGAACTCCTATTCATCAATGATAATATTTAATGACCTATAGGCTGACAGTAGTAATGTTCTGTACATAAAATGTTAAGAATCGATTATAAGTAAAGGCTTCAGCTCTTCATTAATTTTTGACATGTGTTTAATGGTGAAGGTCATTATATAAAATCATAGTTTAATCCAAAAAATAAGTTGTAATCACAAAAAATCAAGTTCATGTTAACATAAACATTGTCCAAAAATTTAACCTTGACCGATATTGAAGGTCAGAAATTGGTTTTTTTTGTTTTGGACAATTTAAGAATGTTTGTGTTCATAGGTGCTGACAATATTCCTAAACCTGACAAAATTTCAGGAATATTTAAGAGGTCTTAAATAAATCACTGCCATTCAAAATTCTTTGAAACTCATTAAATCAGTTTTAAAGTAATGCAGGGGAACATGCATGTGACAGGGGCACTCCTTGTGTTTCTAAAAATGATTTGAGAGATGAAAAGTAGGTCAAATAGTGACATTTTAACAAAAGTTGTCTTAAGATCCATTAGAGTCTGTAACATTGATGTTAAACTGACGACAGGAGAAGAAAGGCATTTTTCTCTTGAAAGATCTTCCAACTTATATGTGCTACTGAAAATTAATGGAAACTCTTAAACTATTAAACATTTAAAGAAAAACAGACTCTTGACCGGCTTCAAAGCAGCATGCCTCCAGATTCATGCTAATGTTTATGAAAAATTAGAAAACGTATTGAAAAGTAAAACATTGCGAAGTAACCAAAGAAAGTAGTTTACACATTGCAAACAGCACTTACAATCCAGGTAATGTAAAGAAAGAGACCAAAAAAATGCAAAAATAACCCTTACTATGTTAGCAAATGATAAATACTACCCAATAAGTCATTAATTAATTGCACATAACATGTAAATTATTACTAGAATCTTGAATACTTTTACTTTTCTTAAAATCTTAGTAAATTTTCCTCAAGGATAATTTTCTTGAAATATTTTGGGAAATCTGGAGGTGTGCAGCTTTAAATGTCTGAGGGAGTTGCTTGCTAACATTATTAAGTGTTTGTTGTTTTGGTGGGCGGGGTGTGGGTTCATAATTTTAGGTAACCAATTTTTTTTTTTATTCCAATTGCTAAATGTCAAAGAACAACTCGAAAGAGTTTTGTTCGACATGTATCCTGAATAAGCTGTATTATAGTAAAAATCTACTCAAGAAAAGTTTCCTTTCTCAAACTAAATTTTGAAGATTATATAAGGTTGAAGGCAAGAGAATTTACTGCAGCTTTGAACTTGTGAAAGATTGAAAATTGACTGAAAATCAAGCTATAGTGTCAATAACACATTATTTAATATGCTATAAAAATGAAAAATGTTTTACAAAAATGATTTCTGGTCACCATGAATCTTATAGGAGCTGCATTTCATAAAGATCTACGTCTAATCAGTCTAGGAATGTTCTAATGGTGAATTTTGGTTCAATATAATACACGTCTAGTTTTCATTTCAGATCATCAAAGACCGTATAGAACGTCATATGTCAAGGTCGTTGGTTATGTGGAACTCCCTACCCGGCAGCACAGCCCTGTTACCAGAGTTCTCTGATTCCTTACAGTCTTTCCCGTTCTATTACTCGCAGCTCGGTCACACCCCGAGCGAGAAGTTCACTGCTGTGATATATGCGACGTCGCCCGTCATGTTTTCATCGTCACCTTTGTTCCGGTTGATAAGGATCATAGCAACATCCGCCTACACTCATAAGGTAAATGACATTGATCCTATTATCTTAGCATAATTTGTTTTCTTTGGTCTGGTTTAACGTTGCACCAACACAGTATAGGTTCATATGGCGACTTTTTGATTCACATAAATCATCTAAAATAATCAGGGTATAAATATTTTTAGAAAAACAGAGCTCACCTGTCTAAGCCATAATTATACCCCCACCACAAAATGTGGGGGGGGCTATAATGGATTCGCTTTGTCGCGTCGGTCGGTCGGTCAGTTGGTCGGTCGGTCGGTCCGTCCGTCTCCATTTTCGTGTCCGCTCTATAACTCCTATACCACTTGAAGGATTTTCTTCAAACTTGGCTCAAATGTTCACCTCAGCAAGGGGATGTGCAGAACCCATGTTGCCCATGTGTCAGCTCAAGGTCAAGGTCACAATTGAAGGTCAAATATCAAACACAATCATATATTAGACAGTATGTCGTGTCCGCTCTGTAGGTCCTACAATAATTGAAAGATTTTCTTCAAACTTGGCTAAAATGTTCACCTCAACAAGGGGATGTGCAGAACTGATGTTGCCCATGTGTCATTTTAAGGTCAAGGTCACAATTGAAGGTCAAATATCAAACAATCAAATATTACACAATATGTCGTGTCCGCTCTGTAAGTCCTACACTAATTGAAAGATTTTCTTCAAACTTGGCTCAAATGTTCATTTCAACAATGGGATGTGCAGAACCCATGTTGCCCATGTGTCAGCTCAAGGTCAAGGTCACAATTGAAGGTCAAATATCAAACAATCAAATATTACACAGTATGTCGTGTCCGCTCTGTAAGTCCTACACTTATTGAAAGATTTTCTTCAAACTTGGCTCAAATGTTCACCTCAACAAGGTTATGTGCAGAACCCATGTCACTCTTTTGCCGGCTTAAGGTCAAGGTCACACTTGAAGGTCAAAAATTGACTTAGAAAATGTTCTTTAATTTTAACATATATCTGAATATTTCTGAATCTAGGAAAGGTATTTGCTTGAAACTTAAAATATAAACGAAGTGTCACAATTAAGATATGCTGGTCAAGTTTCATAACTCTGTATTGCATTTTAACAAAGTTATGCCCCTTTTTAATCTTCAAATATACATACAATCACATATTAGACAATATGTTGTGTCCGCTCTATAAGTCCTATACTAATGGAAGAATTTTCTTCAAACTTTTCTCAAATGTTCACTTAAACAAGGTTATGTGCAGAATCCATGTCACCTTTGTGCAGGCTAAAGGTCAAGGTCAGACTTGAAGGTCAAAATTGACTTAGAAAATTTCTTAGATTAAAACATGTTCTTGAATATTTCGGAAACTAGCATAGGTATTTGCTTGAAACTTAAAGATATATGAGGTGTCACAATTACGATATGCAGGTCAAGTTCATAACTCTGTATTGGATTTTGACAAAGTTATGCCCCTTTTTAAGTCTTTAAATTTACATACAATCAATACTAGACAATATGTTGTGTCCGCTCTATAAATTCTATACTAATGGAAGGATTTTCTTCAAACTTTACTCAAATGTTCACTCCAATTGGGCGATGTGCAGAACCCATCTTACCCTTGTGCCAGCTGAAGGTCAAGGCCACACTTGAAGGTCAAAAATTGACTTATAAAAAGTTTAGTATATTGGGAAAATGAAAGGTTATTTGTAACTGTTTCGAACATGATTTGATAATAGATATTTTTACTATTACCTGTACAATTATGTCTTTTTTTCACCAGAGATAATTTCTTTTTATGTATTTGTGTCACTTAAGTTATTCCCTTAACCACCTTTCCAAGTTGTCTTCTGTCAAGGACATTGGTGGGGGTATGAATCGCATTCAGCGATAGTTCTAGTTCTTATTTGATCTTCATCAAACTTTGTCAAAATGTTTTCTCAATGGCTCAAAATGGGTAATTTTGGGTCAAAAATGCAGGTCTTGTAATGAAATTCAAAGGAAAGCCTATGTCACAATTTTTTACTGTTTATCAAACTTTTTTTTTCTAAATTTGTGCATCATTTATTGCTTTTACATGAATAAATTTGGTTAAACCTTGGGTTTAAACTAGGTCACAATGTCAAAATCTCTTTATTTAGATTTAAGCATTTAGACTCAGGTGATCAATTAAGGGCCATCACAACTCTCCTGTTTATGACATTGAGGCTTAATTGTAAAATCTGTAAACTTTTGAGAAATGTTACTGGAATTTCTTTTCTACCATCTGTTAAACATTTACACATGACTCTGGATAATGAAAATGTAAGACAAAAGAAATTTCTCAGAAAGAAAATTCAGTATTTTTTTCTTTTTTCTTCATTGAGGGATATGTTAAGTAATTGAACCATGCCCCATATGGTGGTCCATGATATTTTTCTGCAATAACAAGCAGCTACCAGACATTGATGAGTTCTGGGGGATCATGATTATAGGTCATAAGGGATCATAAAAGACGGATCAGTTGTCTGTAGCCTGTATAATGATGGCTGACAAATATATCTGGCATCTGGGATGTGAATTATTTGAAGCTTTTTTGGGTTATTCAATATTGTTAAATTTTCACTTTATTTGATATTGTTTTATTTATTCACTATCATTTACTTTATTCAATATCATTAACTTTATTCAATATCATTTACTTTATTCAATATTATTTACTTATTAAATATTATTTGTTCAATATTATTTTATTCAATATCATTTACTTTATTCAATATCAGTTACTTTATTCAATACCATATACAGTGTACTTTATTCAATATTGGTTACTTTAATATCATTTAAGAACTGTACTTTATTCAGTGTCATTTACTTAATTTGATGTAAATTACTTTATTTAATATGTTTTATTTTATTCAGTATCATTTACTATATTCAATATTTTTTTGTTCATTTCAATGATAATTAAAATATGTCGAGTTTTTCATAAGAAAATAAGAAGAGCACACACTGTGTTTACTACAGTATTTAAAAAAGACCCCTTCCTACATCTAAGTGACTCATAGCCATAATAAAACAATATGTATTTTTATGAGAGACATAAGATACTGTCAAAGTTACTGTAAAAATCTTTCTCCAAATTGACTTTTGATTATCTTATCAAAAAAATTGAATGAATAATCTGAGAGTATTATTGCATGAAATTGTCTATTACTTTGAGGTCATAGCTTACACAGGAAGGAAATTGTCTTATAACAAAGTTGATTTGGACCACTAGAGAGGTTTGTTCTTGTAACATAAATCAATGCTATTGCCACAGAATATTAATCATGGAGACAAAAGCTCATAGGAGATTTTATATGTGCAATCAAACAGGACCCTTAATTCTTAAGTCAGTAAATTTTATACATGTACTGAAATTTACAATACATTTGAAGTAAATAAAGTGTTTCTAATTGTAAGTACTCTGTATATTGTATGAAATGAAAAAGTTCAACTGTACTGTTAACTCTTCTGTGAAAAAACGCTTTGAATTTTGAAAATGCAGCTTTTAATGTGTAAAAAAGTTCAATTGATTTCATTTAATCATGGCAAACCAATTTAAAACACTTTTCCTAAAAATAAAAATGCATTTTTAATTGAAGTAATAAGAGTTGATTTCATTTGATTATAACTTCAAATCTTTGTTGTACTACATTGGCAAGAAAATTGCAACACTTTTGTTGCTGTGAATTTCTTTTCTATAATTATTATCTCCAAAATAGAAATTGATAGTTTTAAATTGGCCTTAAAATTAACATGATTTCAAAGGGATTATGAAAGACATATGTAAATTGAATCAGTGTATTGTTTGGCAATGTCAAAAGCTATGTGACCTTCAACTCTACAATGTCAAAATTCTGGAAATTTTACTGCAACTTTTTTGTGGCAACATATAGTTTTATTCCTATTTGTATATACTATGGAAGCCAAAAGGTGTCACCTTTGTTTATGTTTTGTAACACTATGCTGGTTAAATCGATATCCTGCCAAACTTTTCTGATAATATCCAAATTATGATATAGAAACATACGTTTTTTTAAAATAAAATACAGACTTTAAGTTATATTGAGGGTTGAGGGATAATCATTGATGGAAAATTATGTATTGATATATTTGTATAGCAAAATATCACAGGAACTTGAAATTCTATCAAATAACCAATATTAATGATAATATCCAAATATACCCCCTATATACTATAAATAAACAAAGTATTTATAGTATATAGGGGGTATATTTGGATATTATCATTAATATTGGTTATTTGATAGAATTTCAAGTTCCTGTGCAAAATATTAACGATATATCAATATATTGAATTAATATATGAAATTGTACAGTGGGAATTTAATTATAGTCCATTTCAGTATGTGATATAATTATATGTGTTATCACTGTTAATTAGCAGGCTTGTTTTAATTATCACTAAAACAACATGAAATTTCAGACCTTATAAGATAAAACCAATGAACTTTCAGTGTTTGAACCACAAGATGCTTAAAAAATATAAATCTTTTTTTGAACCCAAATCTTAAAATTTTTGCCTCTTTTTGTTTCTCTGGCCCAAAATATCCATAATAAAAATTTTCTTTGAAATTCCTTTAAGTCCCAAATTGGGCAAATTTTTGTTGAAAACCTTTTAAAATTTGGCGTTGGTTGTTTTTTTTTTAAAAAGATCTTTGGGTGAGACTTTTTTTTCCCGGGAAAAATTTCAAAAAATATTATATTATGTTTAAATTTTTTAGTCGCTATTAAAGAATATGAGGGGCTTTGGTCGCCCGGCGTCGGGGGGTCGGCGTAAAGCGTCCGCGTCGGGGGTTGGGTTGGTTTTAAATTTTTTGAAAAGGGTCAATATCTCAATTTTTACTTAGAATATTAAATTAAAATTTAACAAATACTTATTTATAGTAAAAAAGGGTACATAGATTGAAAGGGTTGGAAAAACTTGCCTAAAATATTGACAGAAAGAAATTATGCCCCTTTTTAACTTAGAAATTTTGGTTAAAAGTTTTTTGTAAAGTCAAATATCTCAATTATTACTTGAGATATTCAATTGAAACTTACAATACTTATTTAATAGTAATAAGCTACATCAGAATTGACAAGTTGGATAACTCTGCCTACAATATTGACAGAATTATTGCCCCTTTTTAACTTAGTAATTTTGGTTAAAGTTTTTTGTTAAAGTAAATATCTCAATTATTGCTTGAAGATATTCAATTGAAATTTAAAATACTTTTTTATAGTAACAATGTACATCAGTTTGCAAAATTGCATAACTCTGCCTGCAATATTTGCAGAATTATTTGCCCCTTTAGAACTTAGAGATTTTGGTTAAAGGTCTTCAAAGATATTTACTTGAAACTTTACACATGCACTTAGGGTCATAATTGGAGGGTCATAATTGTATGTCACTGACCAAGTTCCATAACTCTATCTTGCATTAAGGCTGATTCATATCCCCTTTTCTACTTAGTCTCTTGGTTAATGTTTACACGCAAGTTTTACATATCTCAATAACTATTAAAGATATTTATTTAAAACTTCACATATGCATTTAGGGTCATAATTGTAGCTCACTGACAAAGATCCATAATTCTATCTTGCATTTAGGCTGATTTTTCTCCCCTTTTTCAACTTAGAAATTCATGGTAAAGTTTTGCTTGTAAGCTGTTATCTCAATAACTACTGAAGGGTTTGTGCCTTTTTTTTGGACAATTTTATGCATTCATAATAATAAAGCAGTTATTTACTTGATAAAACATCTTAATAACAAGCCTTTGCACCTTTTTCTGTCAAAATTTATGTATTCATAGGTAATTAGTATTATTATACTCAATAAAACACCCTCGTGACATTACTTCCAAATAGTCAAGCCAATACTGTATAATTAGACTCTCTCTAAGTCCTATAACATGAATTTATAAAAAAGAAAATAGCCCTTTGTGAACTTAAAAAATTTAACATTATCAAGGCTCTTTTACTATCAAGCACTTAGAATAGTCGAGCGTGCTGTCCTACCGACAGCTCTTGTTTACAAGTGTTTGTTTAGAAAACCCATTAGCCTCCTGTTGAATATTAATTAAGACTTTGTCTTGCAAATATCAGAATTCATCAACTATATTCTGCCGTTCAGATGAGTCTTACGAAATTACATAATTCCAATGGATTATAATAACATTATAGGGCCAAAATCATTTGATGCATGAATATTTAATCAAAAACTTGGCATCAAGGGTAATTATTCTTTTGCAAGTTTTGTTTTATCATGTAAGAGGATAAGCAAAAAGTAAAAATATATATACAGTATATATAAAGATGCCATATAAAACAAAAACTGAAACGATTATTAATTTGGCCAATTTAATTTTCTAAATTGTCAGTAAGGTGCCATGATCAAGCTTTTATTTAAACATAATTATATCTGTAACTGGCAGTGACAGAATCTACCCAAAAGCTTACCGATGACCAAAGTTCACCGCGGCACAACATGCAATTCTTGATCATGGTCTGCCACTATATAACTTTTGAGTCATTACCTTGTCCATTGTCAATTTCCGAAGACATGTATAAAGGTGAAAATTTAGCCATGCAACAGTAATAAGACCCTGGTAAGACTTCACAGATGTGCATGTTGGCTGGGCTCTATTCTTGCGGCAAAGGAATTGGTCACTTTTTCAGTCTCGGCAGGTTAAAGGACCCATTATGCACAAGAAATGCTTTAATTTATATATTTTCTCATATATTTCTCATATTTTTGGTGTCCCATTGCAGATTTCAAAAAGTAACTCATTAGCCATTTGGGCAGGATTATTGTTGCTTCTGTTGCTTTTTTGGCAATTAGTAAAGTTACAGTGATTTAGTTTATTTTGTATGGAAGTCAGAATACTACTTTTATATTTTATTTTTCTTTTTATGATAAATAATTTCACATGTAGCACTGCAAGTAATAACTATGTAACAGGCTCTAAGTCATTGTTTAAACATAAAACTCAAACAAATATTTGTTTCTGAGACAAAAATGTGCCTTAAATGGTTAAATAACAAAAATAGATTTTTCTAAATATCAGAAATAAAGTGTTATGTGCAGAAAATGAATATGAATTACAGTATATGTGTATTCTTTAACATGCATTTGTTTTTTTTGCTATCAAAATGTACAGTGAGATATTTTGAATGTGCTACCATCTAGTAGGCCATTCCTTAATATTTTCTAGATAGTTAAATGGTTAATGGGGAGTAAATAGAACTCTCATGTAAAAGCTGATTTAATTTTAGCTGTACAGGATTAAGATTTTATGATAAATCTTTACCCTGGAAGATGAAACGAGTTACATTAATTGCTAACATTTATTGAATCAAAAGACAGTAAAATTAACTTCAATCGCTGAAAAAAGCACCAAAGATCTAAAATCACCAGTCTCCCATGAAAGCAATGAAAATTCCAGTGGTAATTAAGGTGAAATTCTTACAGCAGAAGGATGTTTTTGATTGCTCAATGAATTGCTGTATATACACATGTATATGAAAATTAAGTGGAATAAAACGATTTGCATGTATACCAGTCTTTATGTATTGATTACTAGTCTTTACTGTATGATGTCAGAATGTTGGTAATAGTGAGGAAATATCAAGATGAAAATTTTAACTTATGTCAGACCAGAGTATAGAGGGTGGCAGCATGGCTGAGTGGTTTAATGTGCCAGACTATTAATCTAAGGATTGCTGGTCATGTGAGTTCAAACCCTGTCAGGGGCAAGCAGTTGTTTCTGTGAGCAAGAAGAAAACTTTACACTCATTTTTGTTTCCAGTTAACAGATTCAAAAGTATTTCAAGAAACTTTTTAGCTTTCAACACAAAACAACTTAAATAAATTAGTATAAATTATAAACTAATAGTATAGAGCCAGGCCAGACTGTACAGAAGTGAAGGCTCTATATTTGTGGCAAAGGTTTAACAGTTTGGGTTTTAGCAGGATAAAGTTAAAGTTGAAGGAAGAAAAATGAAATGATCAATCATCTTGTGTGTTTTTCAGATGATTGTGATATGGCACTGTGATGTAGCTCCGCCCCCTTCCCATAGATGGCCAGCTGATTTTTAGGCTGTACCAGTTCTGGTTAAAACCAGAAATATAAAAGGTAAGGGTTCAATTCTGGTATGGTTTAAACTTTTTGATGTGTAAATCAGTTCAGAAAAACTTGTAATTTAAAATTTTTCATGTTTAAAACACATTACGTATTGTTCAACTTTCTTAGAAAAGTTAAATTCTAAAAGTTCAATTTCTATAAACTTTACATGGAAATGTTCAATTCAGAATCTAAGAAAAGGTTTGATTCTGATTATTTATATGCCAATCCAGTAAGGTTTGCATTCAAAATTTATAAATAGGGGAAAAAAATAAACCAAAAAAAGCATAAAGAACATTCAAAACAGCAGTTATTACAAAAATGTTGGCATGCTCAGTTTGATTTAGCCTAGTTATGGACAGAAGTGGTAAATGCAAGCCCTTGCACCTTTTAGCAAAACTGAAAAGTTTTTGAAAAGATTCAATAACCCACCAATTAAAATGAGAAAATACAAAATCAAGTTCTTTTACCATTTTTCCTTGATTAAAGATTAAGCTCTTTTTCAATTCATCTGTCATTTGTACAAACCTTTACAATGTAAAAAATATGAGGAATTTGAATAATGTGTGTGGCAAATAGAAAGCGAAATAATTAAATTTCATGGGCTATGATATTTTTTTAGTTTTGAGCCAAAACTGATACTGTGTGTGGTGTGTAGTAACAAGATAGGGTTTTTGAAGCTTTTGAAGATTAAGGAAATGCAATTGTGTGTAACAGTGTTAGATTGAAGTATGATGCAATTATGGAAAAATTCATTCACCATCGTTTTTGCTTTAAAGTTTAATCATAAAAGGCTTTATGTTGTGTTATATTGTTAAACTAATTTTGTTTATTTGTTTTCTTTGATAAAGTTGCCAATGTTTCAAAAGGACTTTCAGAAACCCTATTGAAAGTAAATCTTTTTTAAAATCAACACATTTATGCCCTAGAGGCAGTAATAAAGTGCTGATTTTTGCCAAATTTTAAGATTTTAGGCCAGATTGCACACCTCTGCAGTTCTGAATTGTGTTAAGGCAGCATGCCTCCAGATTCATGTTAATTTTCATGGCAAATTTTGGAAAAAGTAAAATATCGTGAGGTAAAACAAAACAGCAATTTAGCTTATTGCAATCCAAGAAAATTACCAAAAAAGTGGTCAACATATGCAGAAACAGCCCTTAATGCTTTAGTAAGGCAGTAGCAATATGGTGATAAAATACTGCAAAATCAGTGTTAAACCTCACATAACAAGTAAAAATATAACTTGGATCTTGAATGTTTTTATACAAGTTGTAAGGGGGGTATACTGGAATCAGCTTGTCCGTCTGTCCGGCCATCCGGCTGTCCGTCGGGTTTTTCTTGTCCGCCCAATAACTTAAGATTCCCCTTTGACCCTTAGTCTTCATATTTGGCATGGAGGTTAGTCATGATTAGTAGATGACCCCTATTGATTTTTGAGGTTACTAGGTCAAAGGTCAAGGTCACAGGGGCCTTGACTTCAAAAAGCTTGTCCGCCCAATAACTTAAGATTCCTTTGACCTACAGTCATCAAATTTGGCATGGAGGTTAGTCATGAATTAGTAGATGACCCCTATAATGAGGTTACTAGGTCAAAGGTCAAGGTCACAGGGGCCTTGACTTAAAAAAAAATTGTCCGCCCAATAACTTAAGATTCCTTTGACCTACAGTCATCATATTTGGCATGGAGGTTAGTCATGATTAGTAGATGACCCCTATTGAATTTTGAGGTCACCAGGTCAAAGGTCAAGGTCACAGGGGCCTGTTTTCAAAAAAAGCTTGTCCGCCCAATAACTTAAGATTCCTTTGACCCACAGTTTTCATATTTGGCATGGAGGTTAGTCATGATTAGTAGATGACCCCTATTGATTTTGAGGTCACCAGGTCAAAGGTCAAGGTCACAGGGGCCTTGACTTTCAAAAAGCTTGTCCGCCCAATAACTTAAGATTCCTTTGACCCACAGTCTTCATATTTGGAATGGAGGTTAGTCATGATTAGTAGATGACCCCTATTGATTTTGAGGTCACCAGGTCAAAGGTCAAGGTCACAGGGACTTTGACTTCAAAAAAAGTTTGTCTGCCCCAATAACTTTAGATTCCTTTGACCCACAGTCTTCATATTTGGCATGGATGTTGATCATGATTAGTAGAATGACCCTTTTGATTTTGAGGTCACTGGATCAAAAGGTCAAGGTCATAGGACTTTTACTTCAAAAAGTTTGTCTGCCCATTAACTTAAGATTCCTTTGACCCACAGTCTTCATATTTGGCATGGATGTTGATCATGACTATAAGGTGACTCCGTATTGATTTTGAGGTCACTGGGTCAAAGGTCAAGGTCACAGGGACCTTTACAAAAAAGCTTTTCTTCTCAATTGCTAAAGAATGTCCTGTCCGCAATGTATTGATTTTGACATTTTCACATTTGAAGCATGTAGAATACATAACTTAGCAATGCACTGGCTTAGTAACCTCAGATTTGGCAGGGAGGTTGTCCTTGAGCTCTAAATGGCCACTTGATTCTGACAAAGTGGTATGCGGGGGTATTCACGCCATGATAGTGGCAGTTCTAGTTACCTTTCTAAAAATTTTAGTACATTTTTCTCATTATTGATTTTCTTGAAATATTTTGGCTCATCTGAGGGTGTGCAGCTTTAACAATTTCATGTGTAACTCTGTTGGTTCAACTATTCAAAGAATAGGGAGAAGTATTATTGTAACTCTTGTTGACATTGTCGTTACTCTTTGGTTTAGTTTCTGTGTTAAAGTTTGTAGATCCGAAACTACTGAAAAGAATAAGTTGAAACTTCACATACTTGTTACCTGTGATTATCTAACAGGATGGACATAGGGCCCATAACTCTGAGTTACCTTTATACAAAGTTATGCCCCTTTTCTTACAGTCAAGCACTGTGAATAGTCATGCACACAGACATACAGGCTATTGTTGTTATAAAAATGTCTGTGGATAAAAAAGTCACATATTAAAGCGGCACGCCTCCAGATTTATGCTAATTTTCATGAAAATTTTTGAAAATGTGTTTAAAAGTATTATTTACTGAAATACAAAAAAAAAAGCAATTTAAACATTATCAATGACACTTACAACCTACGTTAATTACTAAAAAGAAGACAAAATATGCAAAAATAGCCCTTACTGCGTTAATGCAGTAGAAATATAGTTTTTAATACTGAAAAATCGGTCATTAATCACACATAACATGTAAATTATTACTAGAACTTTGAATCTTTTATACTTTTCCTAAAATCTAAGTACACTTTTCACTGGTTTGATTTTATCGAAATATTTTTAACCAGGTTTTCCGAAGGAAAAAACTGGTTATTAGATTGAGGTTATGTCGGCGGGCGGATGGGCGGACGGGCGGGCGGGCGGGCGTAAACAATTTCTTCTGTGCGCAAACTCCTCCTACATTTCTCAAAACGGATTTTTGACCAAACTTTCACAGAAAGCTTTGTCATCAAAAGTGCCCTGGCGCATATTGTCGGGGTTTTTGCCATTGGATAATATTTGACCTAATTATGGCCCTTTGTTGTTTTTTCTTATATAGAATATATAAGTGAACAATTTCTTCTGTGCGCAACTTCTCCATCATTTCTCAACAGATTTTGACCAAACTTTCCACAGAAGCCATGTCATCAAGTGCCCTGGCACATATTGTCTGGGTTTTTGCGATTGGATAATATTTGACCTAATTGTGGCCCTTTGTTGTTTTTTTTCTTATATAGAATATATAGTGAACAATTTCTTCTGTGCGCAACATCTCCATCATTTCTCACACAGATTTTGACCAAACTTTCACAGAAGCTTTTCATCAAGTGCCCTGGCACATATTTGTCGGGGTTTTGCGATTGGGTAATATTTGACCTAATTATGGCCCTTTGTTTTTTTTCCTTATATAGAATATATAGTGAACAATTTCTTCTGTGCGCAACTCCTACATTTTCTCAACGGATTTTTTGACCAAACTTTCACAGAAGCCATGTCATCAAGTGCCCTGGCACATATTGTCCGGGTTTTGTGATTGGATAATATTTGACCTAATTTTATGGCCCTTTGTTTTTTTTCCTTATATGGAATATATAGTGAACAATTTCTTCTGTGCGCAACTCCTCCTAACATTTCTCAACGGATTTTGACCAAACTTTTTCTCAGAAGCTTTGTTATCAAAGTGCCCTGGCACAATATTATCGGGGTTTTGTGATTGGATAATATTTGACGTAATTATGGCCCTTTGTTTTTTTTCCTTATACAGAATATATAGTGAACAATTTCTACCGTGCGCAACTTCTCCCTACATTTCTCAACGGATTTTGACCACAAACTTTCACAGAAGCTTTGTTATCAAGTGCCCTGGCGCATATTGTCGGGGTTTTGTGATTGGATAATATTTGACCTAATTATGCCCCTTTTTGGTTTTTTTTCCTCAATAATATAGTGAACAAATTCTTCTGTGCTGAACTAGTCCTACATTTCTCAAACAGATTTTGTTCAAACTTTCACAGAAGCCATGTCATCAAGTGCCCTGGCGCATATTGTCCGGGTTTTGTGATTGGATAATTTTTAACCTAATTATGGCCCTTTGTTTTTTTTCCTTATACAGAATATATTTTTTCCTTATACAGAATATAATAGTGAACACTTCTTCTGTGGCAATTCCTCCTACATTATTCATGTTTTACATTGCACATAGTTACATTGTTTATT